ATATTATATATTATTAAAATAAAAGATATTTAAATAATAATAAAATATTAATATTTATATATTATTAAAATAAAATATATTTAAGTAATAGAAAAATATTATTATTATATAAAATTGAAATAAATAATATTTAAATAATAATAAAATATTAGTATAATAAAATAAAATAATAATATAATATTAAAATAAAATATATATAACTTAAAAGTAATAAAAAGAAATTTAAAAAAAAAAACCTATTTATAATTTTTATTAAATACTTAACTATTCTTAACTATACTGCTTACAGTTTAACAGAAATTATAAATAGTTTCCAGCGCTCATGTCTCTACCATAGTAGGCCTTTGTATTCTCCCATGAAAAGGTCCGAGGGTCAATACCTCCTAGCTGCTCAGTGTTACAGCGATGCTGAGCAAGTAGGAAGGGGTTTTGAATGTCGGAAGATATGTAAAATCTCTTGCTGTGCTGTAGACTCCACGGGAGTCCAGGCACGAAAGTGTCTGGATTTTCCTGCATGTATCCAAACAGCATCGGATACCAAAACTGTCCTATCAAAGGTGGCATGTTAGCCCTTCTGAAGACCATGATGTTGATCATCTCCAGGATGTCATTCTTTGGGAACTCATGGCAGTTCCAGGTATTATGCTGGGCAGTGTTGCAGATGGCACAGCCATGAATGAAGCCATATTCATTGACTCGATGGCACGTAGCTACCGTGTGGCCTCTGCATTGACAATTACCACAGATCTTGGGGTTAGTAGCTGCCTCTAAGCGAATATTAGCGTCTCTCAGCTTGAAGTAGATGTTGGGATCCGCTCGCTGTAGGGCGAGGCTGTCCCGGGCTGAGGCTCTCCGCTGTCGCTTTGCCCTGTGGCGAGGCATTTGGAAGCTCCGTGTCTGGTGGTTCTGTGGATGTTCCTGCATTCCAAGTGAGAGTGACTGGCTCGTCTTGCTGGAACATGCCCTCAATAGCCTGGATGGCAGCTTCGCGGTTGATGAAGGTTGCATTACCCTTGGCTTTAAGTAGCCCATAGTCAACCACCTGATTGTTCGCGTTCTCCTCGTACATGCTATCATGGCGGTCACTGAACAGAGTTTGGTGGTCCGCAGCTTGGTTCATGTTCGTCTGTTCGCCATGCTCCGTGTTGTTCTTGTCCTTAGTGCCTCTCGGGGCCTGTTCAGGGTGAAGTTCTTGACTATGACTCTCCGGCTGGGTCTGATCGACTGGCTGGTCCTGATGCTGAGAGTCGTTGGCGTCCAACGAGAGACGAATAGCATTGTTGACTGCCGCGCTAAGTGGTTCAGCATAAAGAGGCTGGGGGTACAAAGTCACTGCAGTGAGTGGAAGTTGCTCAGGAGCAAGCTGATGGTAGTCATCGTAGTCGTTGGCAACTCTGCCGTATCCTTCAGGATATAAAGCGGGTTGCTCGTCTTCCCGTTGCTGCTGGCCGTAGCTTTGACCTGGTGTGGCATTTCTAAACCCCTGGGACTGGCCACGACTATGACCTCGTCCGGTTTGAGGACGAACAAAGTCTCGACCGCCCTCATATGGGTGTCTGCGAACGTTGTACCGATGGTTGTTGATGGGCATCTTTCTTCTGTTGATGTGAATTCTTGATGTCGTCTGTAGTCGTTGGTGTTGTCTATAGTCGTTGGTGTTGTCTATATTCGCTGACGTTGAGTGTGATGGAAGTGAAAAGTGAGAAGAGAAGACAGAAACACAGAAGAAAATACATTGTCCAAGAATATATTGGATGCATGGCATGAACACTCGTGGGAACGTCCTTTGCCAGTGCCAATACAGAGTACTGCCACTCCCAGCTATCAACTAGCACTCCAGCCAGTCAACGTACTCCTACGCCCTGTTCTGCCTAGTCAGTATCTTCTTTATATCCCTAATTCCCATTCCCAGTGGCATCTACTAGGGCAACTGTCTCTAAAAACCATTTGCCACATAGTATCTGTTCGATTGGCAAACGTGAGCCAGATCATGACATACCATGTGACACTCATCAAAAGCACGCCAGATACATGGAGTGTTAGTCAGTCATATACCATAGGAAGAACTTGCTGTAGCAAGGGATTTCCCTACTTTTGGCTTAGTCTGACAGGTTCTACCACTTCCACGGGTTGAGAGTGGCTATTTGAACTTCTTGCTGCACCAACCACCTGTTCGAGTGGTGATTCACATCTCAAAGTCCGGCCAATTAATGTACACTTATGCTATATTGCACTGCAGTTATACTTGTAGACTGCAAGTTTCATTAATTATTACTTATCATAATCATCCAACAAGAACCATTATCCGTTTTACAAGACATTATCTCCTGAACCCAGTGGTTCCATGCTCAATACACATCCTCTCCCCCATAGGCGTATGAATAGGTCCATAGGTCCAACTTCCTCCAAGTCGCTGCACAGCCTCTTTTCGTTTCCTTGCACTCATAGCCGCAACACCCTCAAGACCTCTCACCCACGGTGCATCAGCAACGTACCAAAGTGCACCAGCCAAACTTCGTGGATCGACAGGCAAGTCGGGCCACTTGACCAGTAAACTTGACAACATGGCAAAGACCATGATGAGAAGAATACCAATGCTCAGACGGGAGCATATCTCGTGGGCTTCGCTTGTTTGTGTGAGACTATATGGTACATTGGCGAGCAGAATTGGGAGGAATTGGGCGAGAAGGGTGGTGAAAGCTGTGAAGAAGAGGAGAGGGTCGCGGATTCGAAGAGCGACGAAGAAGCCGGAGACTGGGTTTGTTGCGGGTGTCATGAGGACTGATCGTGTAGGAACTTGAGGGTCTTCAGCCATTCGACGGTATGGTGTGATAACAGCGACACCTGAGAGGTTAGCATATGTACTAAATAGGGGGTGGGCATGACTTACTGGTGAAGAGAAACTCCCAACAAAAGACAACAATAACACCAAGTGCAGAACAAACAAATCGTACACCAAAGTCTTGACTCTCCATTAACTTCTTCATGTTCTTGGGCAAGTGGCTGAACGTATCAACAAAGTGATAGTAGCTAATGAACCCAAGAAGACAGATCAGAAACACGAGGAACGTGAAGCGATACCAGAAACTCAAAGCCATGAACGTCTGCGGTGCTCGACGACGGGTTTGAGGTCGATACGCCATGCCCTCTTCATAAGGCGTATTACCATAAGGGGCCATGATATCGCGATTCACATCACCAACGACAACAAGACCATACTCATCTCTCCCCTCTTGATTGCGAAACCACCCCATAGCGAACCTCTTCTCCGTAACAGCACCCTTCAAGTCTTTCCAATCCTGAGCCCCCATCGATCGAATCTCGGGGTTGCGAGCAACAAGCGCCGCCGTGTTAGCAGCACACCAGGGATTCGCAAACACACCAGTTCGCCAATGTCGACTGATGACACTAAGTGTGAACATGAGAAGAATTGCGATTGCGCCGAGAAGACCGACGAGTGCGTAGGCAGATGTCTTTGAAACACCAAGTTCAAGTGCACAACCGTCGATAGCGCCCTTTTTGCAGCTTCCATAGATTTGAGACCGACAGCTTCACTGGACAACGGAGCCGCGATACTGGATGCCCATAGAGCTAGTGCTGTAAGGAAGGGAAGAGGTTGGTTGTTGAATAACAGCTTGAACGGGAGATAGATACTCATCCATCCATCGAAACTCAACAACAAAGCCTCACGACCCAAAGCACCGCCCTGTCTTGACAATGCAGCAAAAGGCTGATACTGCTGCGCCGACTGATTCAGCGCTCGAATTCCCATTGCAAGAAGAACAGCAACAATAGGCGGTAGAAACTTTCCAATGAAGTATCCAGAATGCGTAAGCGTATGCGTCGTGGCTTCAACAACAATCTTGGTATCACCAGTCGGCGTCTCAACATCTGTGACAACAACCTTTGTCGGCGGCACAGTCGTAACACGCGTAGTCCCAATCGGCGTAGAAACAGACGTTATAACCTGTCCATCCGCTAGAGTCTGAACCATAGTGACAGGCGGGGGCGCATCAACTACTGTCTTGACCGTAGCAGCGACCTCACTTGTTCTAACCCTGGTAACAGGCGGTTTCGCCACTTTTCCTTCAGAATCAATAGTGAGAACCGAGTAGATCGTCGTGGTTCCAACAGAAGCGTAAACAATCGGTGGGCCAGTCCGTGTAGTTTCTCGAACGGTTGTTCGAACAGCGCCGTTTTCTTTTACGGTGATGAGGGTTTTTGTCTGGCCGGGTTGGACGACTGTTGTAGGCTGCCATTCTTCAGGGGGGACAGACTCTTCGGGGATGAAAGACGTGAATGTTGACGCTGCTTCGGTGATGGTTTCGGTTAGTGTTGTTTCGCCGGTTTCTGTGATGAGCTCGGTTGTTTTTGAGACTTCGATTGAGCCTGGTTCTGTGACCATTGTGGTAAAGACTGATTCAATGAGGGCTGTTGTCAAAGTTCCTCCTTCGACATCACCAGTTGTAGCAGGTGTGTCGTCTGTAGGCACAGGCTCAGGCTCAGCTTCTGAGGCTTGAGATCCCTCAGTTCCGGTGTCGGCTGTTGGTTCAGGTTGAGACGGTTCGCTCGCGACATCTTGTCTCTTCATATAGAAGAGGTCTTCATTTGTGATTCCAAACGAACGATTCTCGAGTTTTGCTGTTTTATCATCGCCATTCAACGTGCGTGTAGCATAGATAATCAATCCCATAAGACCCAACAACACAAGAATCAACGCACTGATGAAAGGCCATCGTAGAGGAATTGGTCGATAATCAGGTCTCTCTCGCCCCCGCTTCTCAGACTGTCCCGCATCTGTCTCGACAGGATAAACCTCTTGGGCAGTTACAGGCTTGTACTCGTATGTAGTCTGTTGCTGCTGCGGCTGTTGTTGCTGATATGGCTGATAATGTTGATACGGCTCGTTCTGCACATAAGGCGGTTGATACATCTTGACGACCGCAAAGTTTGTGTACCCAACTTAGAGTCGCGTGCAAGGAAAGGAGGCTTTATTAAACTACCACAACCTCCAACGCCCAAGCCCAAGCCCCCCGGCTGTTCAACTCTCCGAATGCCACGGGGCATTCACCGTGTCATTGCAACTCCATCATTGGCTTCCGTCTTGACGGCATAATACCCTAAACGTAAGATCCAGGCGTGGCGTCTCCCTGGAAGACCAGGACAGCTGAGCTATTGAGAATGCAGGGTTGCTATTGGATCAACAGGCGAGTGGTGTTGTAGGGCTGAGAGTTAGACGGTCTCAAAGAGGGAATGCCAAGACTGAGCTGGAGTCTAGACCATTTAAGCTTATCGATATTTGGGTAAAGCCATCATGTGTCATTTCCACTGAGCAGGATATTCGGCAGTTAGCCTTGCACTATTTCGCATGTGAGTTTTGGTAAGAATGTTCAATTATTCGTATCTATGACAAGGCAGATTCCAACGCCTCATGTCCAAAAACAGTGTATCCATCCATCCAAACGCCATCCCAATTGTACCCAAAATTACCAGCCGAGAACGTTGAACAGACTTGTTCGGGGATCAGGAACAGAACCGTTGAAAGTCTTTGCACGAACAGTTTCGCTCTTTGTGGTGTTGTACTGGCTAAAGTAGCGATCGAATGTTCGGGATTGGTTTGTGAGTTGTGAGCGAACGTAGCCGCCGACAACAGAGATGCTTCCAACAGCGATGAGAACAGGAAGGACCCTGAAGTTATTTGTTAGTGAAGAAGTGATAAAAGGGTGAGTTGATGCTTACTTGGGGCCAACAGTGGGCTTGATCATGAGAGCAGCCATTTTTGTGGATTGGTTTGATTGGTTGGTTGGTTGTGTAAGTGAGCTAAAGCTGAAGCTGAAGATGCAAGTGTTGTTGGTGAGAAGATCTCAGTGATTGTTGTTGTGATTGTGATTGATGGTGATGAGAAAAACTGTTTGAGAGCAAAAGAGTCCATCATTATATATTCTCGTCTTGAAGATCAATTCGTTCGTTTCCGTAACTATTTTCTTCAATCGCATGTTGAAGTTCTGAGCTGACCGGTGGTGCTGTTTTTGGTGGTGCCATAGAATGATCCAGCCCTGGACACAGCCATTTCGGGCGATGCCGGGGTCCGCAACACCAAAATTGGATCTCTACACCTTGAGATCTTTACATTCTTCAAGATGATTGAGAAGTTGGTAGATTATCTGTATCTTCGATTAAATACATAGTATTTGTCATATATTTAATGTATTGCAACTTTCACAGCACTCTAAGAGTCCCAAGCATTCGTGAGTGCGATATGGGTACGTATACAATTCAATTTTTCTGTCAAGTACCTGCCAGACACATAAATATCAATTTAATAACTATCAAGATGTAGTCTCTCCTCTACGACAACCATATCTCGGCAGTAATTAAATCACAGCTTCTGCCAAATGCATCTGTAAATGCAATTATGGTGATGGCATTCTCAAAATCTGGTGTTGAGAAATCATCTGATTTTCGGTCCCGGCGTCTACCGAACCCACCCAAAATTCTCCGGGAAATCAGTCCATCATTCGGTTCTCGACACACTCAGCCCCGAAGCACATTCTCGACTGCTAAAATCGTCTCACTGATCAACCTTAACTCTGATATCGGAATCATCAGGAATAATTGCTGTGTTTTCCCTCCACGCGTTTGTTTTTCGCGATGCGACGATGGATTGAGTGATGACCTCATCAGATTCCAGTTGACCTCAAAACCACTGTCTCTGCACCAGAACTCTCCGTGTGTTTCTTATCTGTTTATTGACTCTCCATACGTCCCGGTAAGATATAAAATGCCCACCGGTCGGGTCCCACAATTCCCGGTGTCCACGCCGGTAACACGGCCGGCGATGTAATACATCATAGGGAAAAGGAATGCATATGAGCTCAAGCCAAATGAAACAAACAATTCATTTTACTTGGATTCTCTCTCACAGAGGAACTGTCTCCTATCTCCCATAAGACCTTCACCTTATAGAGCCAATACAGATCATATCATACATCTATAGCCACCGTTAACAGTCCATCAATACAACCATCCTCAAACCTCCAACAAACGATCGGAGAATTCCAATCCAATCCCCAAGCCCTTCATCCACACATCACATGCTTCTATGCCCGCCTCAATCCCAAAACGTCCATCTCGCATCAATGACATCCAATAATGGTCAATGGCTACACATCCCCAGATATTCTGACGCGGGGAAGCTGCTGATGCTGTAGCTCACCACGTCATCCCTCCATCATCCAAAGCTCTTAGATCATTGACAGAACCCTATTAAATAGCAAAGCTCCCTCAATTGCTGAGATCCACTACTGCTTCATCCAAATAATTGCTGTATCTGAACAAGTCAAAATGTCCATGAAATTGATCCTTCGCCCTGTGGTGCGAATCCCACTCCTCCGCCCCCAGAGCCGTCTTGCTTCTACAAACCCCACGCATGTCCATCCAGATGGTAACCTCGGCGGTCCGGGAGGTCAGCAGCCCCCACCTGCACGCCCCGGCGGTCCGGAAGCCATCACAAGGAACTGGTACAGTCACCCTCACCCTCCTTGCCATTACCACTGACACTCCCAGGATGCCCATCGCTGCAGCAGCAGGTGTCATCGCAGGCGGCGTCTACATCATGCTCCCCACGCGAGGAAAGCCTCCGGAGAGAACTCTCGAGAGCGACATGGTAGCTGCCAATTCGACGGCGATTGGATACATCGGTCAACCATCTGGAAAACCAGGCATTGCTTCTCATTACAAGGAGCTTCGAGATGGCAAGGAGGTAGAGTCGATGAAGGAGTTGAGCGGGAGAAAAGGTGATGGTTCAATGGGGCCTTTCAGAGCAGAATAAATAACGGAAAATGTATTCATAACGGAGGCGACTTGCCCAGAGTATCAAATTGTCTATCATGCTCGATCGAGCTGTACATTAATAATAAAACATCGCTTACTTCTGCTCTGAAGGTTCGTCTTTCTTCTTTTGTAGCAGATAATCTCCCCCAAACACCGCTTTGTACACTCCTCTCAATCCTTTTATCGGCCATCCTGTTCGTGCAGTTGACTTCATCAGTTTCTCGTCCCCTTCGATGTCTACTTTGACTTTGTCGTACACATTCGGTAGATACGACGCTCCGTACTTTTCTCTTAGCGCATCGTACGCTTCTTTGTTGTAATGTGACCAGAATTCATCTTCTGTGTAGTATGCTTGGGCGTATAGCCATTTCTTCCCCCCGCAGTCTTGTACTTTTTGCTCTAGTGCTCGATTATGTCGAATTGCATCTCGTCGGTTTCCTTGTAGGGGTCCCCATATTCCAAAGTTCATGAGTTCCACGGTTCCTGGTTTTGCAAATTCTGCGTGGAGACCATATCCTGAGTCTGGGTCTTCTCGTCGTACTCGTAACGGACATATCCAGAGGGGGTAGATTCTGAATTGCTTGTCCAGCCAGTTTTGAAACTCTGGTACACTGTTGTAGGGCACTCCGACGTCTTGAACCATGTAATAGTCAAACAGATTACTCTTGTGACCGGCAGAGTACATGACGCGAGCTCGAAGTAGGGGATCCAGGATATATCGTGTCAGTCGGTTGAATGGTGTGAGAAAGTAGTCAAAGGCGTATTTAGCGACCCAGAAACCACCTCTGTCGTATCGGAACAGATAATCCTTCAATGGGATGTAATCGGCGACACACGTAACAGACCCCATCCGTAGCCCATCTCGAACCTTTTCAACATGAAGGTAAAACCACTTATCCTTCCGTCGGTTCAGTTGCCTTGGCGTAGCGCTGATTGGTATTTCATCCACCATTCGTCCCGCACATACAACAGTCGTGTCCTTGGAGTAAGCAATCCCATCAACGTAATCATTCTCCCACCTCTTACACTCCTCCTTGATAATCTTGACAGACTCAGATGGCCCCCTTGCGAGTCGGTACTTGAGCTCAACATACTCTTTCGCTTCCTTCAACTGGACCTCTAATAACGTAACAACACCGAGTGTTCCGAACGCCGAAGCAGCACCCCAGAAAAGATCCGGCTGCTCCGTTTTTGAAGCACGCGTAACGCATCCATCCGCGAGAACAATCTCAATCCAATTGACAGTCGCGTCGAAAGCCCCGTACCGAAAAGAACTGCTCTCCCCCGACGTCCCCGAAAAGCCACCTCCAACGGTAATAGCCGGGAACTCCATAACGACCAGCGGAACAAGCCCCAGCGGTAGCGTCGCATCGACGAGGACTTCCATCGAGACATTTGGTTCAACAATCACCGTCTTGGAATCTTTGTTCACTTCAATGACATGGTTGAGCTTGCTTGTGTCGACGGTGTTGTCCACTCGCCGGTTTGAGTGCCGTGTGCTGTTAGTTGAGCCATGGTATAGACGGAACGGTTCCTGGCGGGCGTGAAAGTGCTTAACTTGGTCCGCGACACCAGCGACGATGGTCTTATGAGCGTCCATCATGAGATGGGATCGCAGAGATGAATGAATAAATGAAACAAATAAAAAAAGAGATGCAGGAATCAAGATCAAAGACTTGGCGAGTCGTTCAGAGTAGGTAGTATCGGGTCGGAAATAGCGAGGAATGATCCACAATTCCTTTTCCTTGTGTCGTGCTTGTGTTTGTGCCTGTGTTTGTGCCTGTGCTTGTGCTCGTGCTTACGACCCAAGAGTTTTTATATGAGTCGATCACTCATGACGCTTGATTCCGACATATCCGAGCATCATGATTGCTTAGCTTGCTTCGAATCAGCAAGACTCGTCTTATTTACTTTTTAGTCGTTACCGTCCGAGGTGCCACGTCAAACACGTCAGCCCTGCTTTGACCATATCGCCAAGTTTTTTATTCTATTCTGGTCGATCTCAATATGACGTTTGTTGTTTCATTGGCTCAGCTTGTGATGCATGAATAGGCGCGTTTGCTAGTCGACAAGCGATCCTGGAAATGGCCCCCACAAGACATTGATAACCGAACCAAACGCTGTGTTGATAACTTAGTACCTTATCCTAATGCTCTACAATTCTAGCTTTGATGTGTGACGCTCTCATCCTCATCCTCTTCCTGATCCGAGTCTTCACAGCCAAACGCTGTGATATACTATCCGAATAACTCTAATCCTGGCTCTGATGTCTAACGCTGCGGTGTAGGCGGGTTAACTTTCAATTGAGGGAGTTCATAGTCGCCATCACGCCCATCCTCCCCTTCATTACTGCTGTCAATTTCCTCGTCCTCATCGCCTTCAACCTCAACGAAATAATCGAATTTGTCAATGAAGAACTCAAGCATCGAACGATAAATAGGTCTTTCATCGCGGGGAATACCCCTTCCCCTGTAGTACTGCTCGGTGAAGGAGGGCTCAGGCGTTTCTTCCAACAACTTTCGCAGGACCTTGGCATTTTCAGCTACTCTCCCTTCCAATTTGTCTGTAAATTCCTTTGCCGGTGTAATGTTACCGAGATCTTCATCTTTCATACCATGTAGATGACCGCACCTCGCCCAGAGTTTCTCATACCCAGTAATTTGGCGTGCTTTGGTTGTCCATCGGTCAAGATGGTCTTGTATTATACATTTCCGGCATCTTGAAAGGACCCTGCTGTTGGTCTTGTATCTTAAAAGAAAGTCTTTCGGGACTTCCCAACCATCACCACTCAACGCGCCAGGAAGCTTAACCGCAAGTTCAGTGCTGTGGTCACAGTTGAACATAATGCGATGAGTGCATGGCTCGGCGGTATCTTGGTCAACATCCCCCTCCTGTCTGCCTTGCTATGGGCAGATGGGTGACTTCCCAGACGATTTGAAGTTGTCGAGGAGTGTATCGTAACAAGATTTTCCAATAATGTGTCCACAGGGAAACAGCAAACCAGCGTGTCCTTTCACTGGTTCCATGGTTTTGGCATCCTGGCAAGGTTTTCGACAGGCAGCGCAGCAAAAGCGAAGGCAGGCGAATTGCAGAGTCATCAAACTTTGCGTCCTCTCGTGGAACCTCCATACGACCTTTTTCAGCCAATCGTATGCACTTGGGTAGCAGAATTGACTGGGGAGACCTAGGCCTTCCTTTGCCAACACATTGAAGAACAGATCGGGTACTTCTACGGACAAGTGTTGCCGTATGACTGATAATTTCACGATCTCATCCTCAGCCGACTGGGCGTCGGTCGTCTCATTGTCTTTCGATGTCTCTTGAGTATTTTCTCCTTCTGTTGCCTTTTTCTCTGGCGTAATCTTTTTGGTCAGTTTGTTATCGCTAGCTTTTCCGCCGGTCATCTTGTTGTCCGCCATCTTGTCGTCTGAGGATTTGTCGTTGATAAACTTATTGTGGGCTATATTCTTATAAGCAACCTTGCTGTTGGTCACGGTGATGATATGCTTGATAATCTGTGAGGTTTTGTTTGTATGGATGATATTGGGCGTGATGGCTGATACTGATGTTGGTTGATGTTAAGTTGATGTTGAACGAGGTCAGTCAGACTGTTATGATTGCAAGCACCTCCCAGCTGTGAATCACATCCCTAACAAAGGCAAGTTGTGTTGATCACGCCTTTCTTCATTCTACACGGTACGCTGTAATATTAAGTAGGTAGGTACCTATAGTAGGTAAGGTAGGTACTGAGGGAGGTAATGTCTAGGTACTAACTCTGCATCTCGAGCCTCAGTCAAGCAGGAACTTAAATCTGTACCCAGCAATTCCTACCCAAACGCCTTCTCATTCTTCTTCTGAGGCACATCATGGCGATTCATCTCGCTATCACGTCTTCGCTTTGGTAACTCTCCGGGTGCCAAATTCAGCTGATCTAATGAGTGGCCTACCCAAGTATACCGTAGCCATCTCAATGGTCTGCGGTCCTCAAACAAGGCTTTTTGACGTTCGTCGCTATAGAAGAATGCAAGGATCACCTGAATCGTAAAGACAGTTGCATTCCCCGAGCATGACGAGAGTTTTCCAAATCGAGTGTCTTCAAAGCGAATACCCAGGCGCTCCAGAACATGCTCAAATACTGCGGGTTGTTGAAGGCGTGTCTCAAACTGCTTCTCCTTCTTCAAGTCCCATATCTGAACATTCGGTTCTGCCAGCCACTCCAAACCAAGTTGCAGAAGCGCAGTTTTGACGGACTCTGCGTCAAAGGTCAACAAAATGAGCTGTCGAAGACATCCTTGCTCGACCTCATCGTTCCGTCGATTTTTCTTTTTCAACGATGCAAAGACTCGATATAATCGGTAAGCAAGATCTTTCTGCTGAACTCTTCTTGATCGGCCAAAAGCGAACAAGTATGGTGATTGATCTGATCCATCTTGGTTCTCGAACTCTTCCACTATATAGTGGAGCGGAGTCATGTACTTGAACCAGGACGACCCACGATCTCCAGGTTTGACGCCCTTACCACGGCCATACAAAATGTCTCGCATATCAAGGTATGCGATCCCGGCTTCGACGACGGGATCATGTCTATACGGCGGTTCGTTCAACGATACGCTAGGCTCTTTCCTGCAGATTTGATGGAAATCCAGAGAGATGAAGATGTAGTCAGTGTCGGGCATTTTAACGAACTGATTCGTCTTATTGTCAAATGCAGGGATGACATTCTCAAGGCTTTCTGGAGGAACGGCACATGATTCGCAAGGGATGTGTTCCGTCTCTTCATCAGAAATGGATGTGTTGGACGAGACGCTCTCCTGCAGACTAGAAGTCGACATCGTCAGAGTTGTACTTAAGAGAGGATGAGTACCAGGGGAAGCTCAGGTAATGATACGAGAAAATAGCTGTTTCGAGCTCGTTGATTTGTCTACGAGATACACACAGGCTGGCAAACAACCATCTATTTATACCCGTTGAGCTTCCTGCACTTCGGACCATTTTGTAAGTGAACGGCGACAAACTACGACTGTGAGCCAGAGTCTCACACAGTTTGTCAGTGAACCGTGCCATTGTTTGGCCGTGGCTGACAATACCGCACAATTCAGAGCGAGCTCAACGATGACAGAGCATCTCCAGAACGGGATACCTTCTCACTGTGGTAGTCTCATATAGCGAGCAAACACAGGTTGAACCTCGAGATTAACCGCATCTGGTTGAGAAGAAGACATTATTTTGCAAATTACAGGTGGCGGCCGTACAGTAATTCCTTTGTATGTGATTAACATCTAAAAATCCAATCAGATCTAAGCTTGTTCTTCGTTACCGGTGTAGCCAAAAGCATCACACAGGCAGTTCCCCTCTTTGTGTGATTCACAGTCTCGGGATAGCTGTCAAGTATGTCCCTCCCAACTTGAGCATATCAACAGCCTCCTTGACCATCTCATCAACGATCTCCCCAGCAGGCTGGATCTTTGTGATGGCTCCGGCAACCTGGCCCATCAAATGTGGGATATCGAAATCGTTGCCCTGCTCGAAGTCGTACTCAATTGGTACAACACCCTTATCGCACAACTCCTTGATCTTATCTGGCTGCTCATGCCACTTCCTGATATAATCGTTTGTCTTCATTCTCAGAGGTCGTCCAGAAATAACAAGCGTTCGCTGCGTATCTTCGAATCCACATGAAACAACCTCCTTCTTGTGCTCTTCACTGCAGCTTGCTTCAACAGAGGCTACAAACCGTGTGCCTACCCATACGGCCACAGCGCCCTGCATCAATGAGCTGGCAAGACTCCTTCCAGAGGAAATACCTCCGGCTGCAACGACCATCGCGGGAAGGCCCTTGAGAAGGGGAGGGTGGTACTTGGAAGCAACGTCTGCGACGGCGGGGATGAGGATGGAGTTTGCTACATCTCCTGTGTGACCTCCTCCTTCGCCACCTTGAGCGCAGACCATGTCAACTCCGAGCTCGAGCGCTTTCGTCTTGAATGTGTCAGTGAATAGCAACTACCTTTTGTCTGTGACTTACTGCATGCTTAGGATGGCCAACCATGTTCATGACTAAGATACCCTTATCATGGAACCTCTTAATCACTTGAGGTGGTGGTACGCCAACAGCACTGACAAACAACTTGGCACCACTGTCAATGATAATGTCCACCAACTCGTCCAACTTTCCACCAGTGTAATCGTGGTTGGTCTTACGTGCATTGCCTCCAATCTGAGGCAAAGCGAGGTCAACACCAAAGGGTAGGTCAGGTCGTGAGAAGTTGTCCTTCATTTCTTTGATGATCTCTCGGAGTTGATCAGGTGTGTATTGGAAACCACCAATTATACCGAGGCCGCCTGCGTTGGATACAGCTGCTGCAAGACGACCACCAGACACCCTAGCCATACCGGCGAGGATGATGGGGTGCTTGATTCCCAGCAGGGATGTAAGTGGTGTAGTGATGGGGCCTGGAGGTGCCATTTGTGTTATTATGGATAATGATAATAATGAGAGACGATAATTGGGAATAGATCAAGTATAAGAACAAGCATACAATACAGCTGGATATTGGCCCTCGGCTTACAAGTCTGTGGAGATCGGCTCTTTAAACATCATCAACCGATCTAAAGTTGCCGGTTTGCGGGGGAAGTTTCGTCTACAGTCCGAGGCATTACCGCATTAGGCTACCAGTTCGCGTATCTCATGTGCCTCGAATGCGCTTTGAACCCTTTCTGCATAAATTCCCAGCCTCGGCGATACATTGTATTTGTGCATATCGTACTGTATTGTATTCGCTGAATCTATCAAGGTATCCCGTCTCATTCCCGTTTCATCGTTGGCTCAAATCCCTTACTTGGCTCAATGTTGGTATCATACATGAAAACATCCGTGACTCGCTATCATCCCTCATTAGGTGGTATTACAGAGAATCAAAGTCCTCGTCATTGGAAATGCGGTAAACGCGCTGGAACGAAATCTGTCTTCTCTGGTGATTTTGTGCCATCGGGTTGTGAAGTAGTTGATGGTTCATCTTGTGTCGCGGGCTTGTCTTCGACTTCTTCGACGTGGTGGTAGGCGGCCTTTGAAGGCGATGTTTGATAAACATCATCTTCCGCTACCTCTGGTGTCGACTCGGAGATTGATTTGGGGTCAGATGTTCGTGTGAGACCCTTTTCTGCCGCGAGTTGTGCTGCTGCTTGTTTCTTCCTCTCGACATCCTCGTCTTGCTCCTTTCGTAGCATAAGCTCTTCTTGTTCCAGGTCATGTAAAGTCGGTCCCTCAACATCTGGCGTCACAGAAAACGACGTTGATCGCTGCTCCATTCGGTAGTCGTCCTTGGAAGAAACTGATCCTAATGTCGTTCGCGATACTGTTCTCGACCCTGCCAAACCGCTAGCTGGTCTTTTACCCTTACTGCTGGTTCTTCCACTACGTCCACTTCGATCATCCTTTCTAACCATGTCGTATGTAACTTCGTCATCGAGTGGAATTGCATCTTCTTCACCTTCGCCATCGCTTGGGAACAAATCACCTCGTGATCGATAAGAATCTGATGTGTCGCCCGACCCTGTCGTCCCGCTGCGCTTTCTAGTCACTGGCAGGTCAAAGTCGTCTTCGTCAGAATGTAGTAGTGGTTCGTTTTCTCCTTCGCCATGTCGTCGTGGGTGGTCTTGCAGATCTGCCGCACTAGGTTTGTATCGCAGAGTACCGCCCATCTTCCATGGTAGTTTGCTGAGGAATCCAATCGGTTGTGTGCTGGGAATTACAGTCGGGTCATCGTCCATGCTAGGCTTTCGTCTTCGGTCTCGGGTTCCATAGCTCATGCCGCGTTTCCTGCGCGGTTGTTCAGTTTCTCCCCCAGTGTGTCTTCGCTGAGTGCCAGTCCCAGCCAACAATCTATCCCAGTCTTCATTACCCCAAGTGCCAAACAGGCCGCTCTGCTCTTCCTCATACCAGTCATCGTAAAAGTCGAAGCTGTACTCTGCCCTACTATGCGACAGCTCTCGCTCTCTGCGCTTTCGTAGACGTTCCTCAGGGTCACCTAGACATACAGTCGTACACTGTTCGATAGATTGCGCGATGGACGAAAAGCATGGGTTGATGTAATTATGTTGAAAGGTCCAGATTCCAGCTGCCGCATTCTCGGTTATGGTCTCGGTATCGTGTGCAATTTGGTTCCAGCGTTGGCGCAGTCGGGGGTCCTCGAGGAATGCCATTGTGAATATAGTGGATATGACGTCGCAACATGGAAGCGCCGAGGTCGCAATGTGTTTCAGAAGATGTAAGCGGATTCAGAAAAGCAGATGATTAATTTTGGTGCGAGTCAATTAGTAGACATGATCGCGGAGGTGATGAGTTCACGATCAGCCATCAAAGTATAATCTCGTGAGTGACAGGCTATGATTGAAGATCAGAGTTGATTGTAACTGTAAGACAGCGGTTGTTGTGGCACGTGCAGCGAGGTGAGACGATTAACAGTTGGGCTTAGGTTGTTGGGTGGTTGGTTGAGACTTGAGTGGAGGTACTTTGAAACGTGGTTGTCTGGTGGCTGGCCGTCAAGTACTGGATCCACTGGGCTTGACTCTCGATATCTATGATGATACTTCAATGTTGTAATTCGACGGATCTTGACATGATGAACCTTATTATTTTTGGTGAGATAGTCAGGCGGGCAGGCGGGATCTTGTCCAGTTGTCCAAGCTTACACTCTATTTTGATTTGACGTTACATTTGTCTCAGACGAGGCAAGAAAATATTCGTATTGAGCAGTCTGCAGTTGGTATCAGGCAACGCAAGAAACAGTGATGTAGCACTAAACTGTCCAATAATCTCAAGTAGCGGTATCCTACTTCCTTGGGATACGCATATTCGCTATCACCCTTTCGATAAGCTCTTCCTTGGTGGCCTTGGGGTCGGGATGAAGATTCCTCTGTTTTTGTTAGTCTACGTCAATGGGTGTGAGTGATTCGCTTGCCTTGTTCAACCACAATTGACATTCTTCCTTTGTCCATGTTTTGGGATCACCAGTAGGGTCAGGCTGAGGTGGGAAGACCCCTTGACCATCGTTTCCCCAGATTGTGTACGCCGCTGCCATAGAAACAACGCCTCCAAAGACTGGACGTATCAGTATGTGGCTTACCCTGCAGATGAAGGATACTTACAGAGGACAACGTTCTGATAAGTGTTATTATATTTCAGCTTGGCTGATTGAAATATATTAATCAATCACTAGATTGTATGCTCTTACCTTGGACTTCATAAAGTTATCAAGCCGGGTCGACATGTTGACGTCTTTCGTCGATACTGACGTTATCAACAAGTTTGGCGATCAGTTGGTATCACCTGTTCAGGAGTAATAAGTGTTGTAAGTCGAGAAGGTCCAGAGAACAACAAAAACAATGCTGCTACAACGGTAATGAGTACCTTAAATATTAAGTTTCAAAGGATTCACAATCACAACGAAAGGTGGCCATTTCAAGATTCCTGCCTGTTGCTCGAGGCCTCGTCTCATCCTCGTCTGCGCCACGTATTCCCTGACGCCACATCTCGGTGGATCGGCGACCATCTCTCCCGAATCAGTCCAACAAACGACCATGGTCCGTGCACTCAAGGCCCCGCGAAAAAGCAGCGCACAAAATGAATTCTCCAAATTCATTCATATCGAAATCGTCAACCCGTGCCTTTGACAAGTTTCCGTTCAACCCACACACCTTGAACTACCGCCAAGATGCCTCAAGAGGTCGCCGATATCAAGAAGGTATGATATGCGAGTCACCAGTGGAAGGGTTGAAATACTGACTCAATTACCAGTTCATCGAGATCTGCCGTCGGAAGGACGCCTCCTGTACGTTTTGACGAAGAAAAAAACCTCCACGAACAAACACGCAATTCGATTCTAACAATTAATCCCAACAGCCGCGCGGATCAAGAAGAGTCAGAAGACCAACAACATCAAGTTCAAGGTCCGCTGCCAGAAGCACCTCTACACCTTGGTTCTCAAGGACACCGACAAGGCCGAGAAGCTCAAGCAGAGCCTTCCCCCCAGTATGATCCTCCGCCAGGACACCCACGATGATACAAAACCCACTGACACAGCATACAGACCTGCAACTCACCGATGTCTCCAAGAAGGCCAAGAAGTCTAACTAAGAAGGTGGTTGATTAAAGGGTTTACTCTGGGTGTGGGAGGATTTCACAGGCACGAATGGGCGTCTCGGGATACCTTGCATTTCATCATGTGCTCTGAAAGGAGGATACTCGGATGAGTCCAAAAAATAAAAAGAACGATTCGAGTCACAAGATACTGGGGTTTCGTTTGCGTGATGAGTGTTTGAATTGGCTAATGCAGAAAAGGCTTGTGCTCGAAGCGGGAGACTTTGGTAGCTTCGAACCTCACAGCTATACCGGACTCGATCACGTCTTCGAAGCCTGGGGATGCGATTATCACCATGATTGAATCGCCGCCTTCTATCCTCCATCCTGCCCACATTCTTTGACCTGGTAGTGTTGCGGATTGGGTCTCGATGGAACGATATTCATTTTCGAGAGATGCTTCTTCTTCGGGCTTTACTGATATCTTCCAGACCTTGATCGACCCTCTTGCAAGAATATCTCCTCGGAACTCATTTTCTCCAGCCGGCACCGTATGGTACAAGGCCACGGCGTCTTTGTCTTGACTGATGAAATCTTTGAGCTCCTGCATTAGAGAGATATTCTCTTGACTCTGGATCCATTCGTTGTGACCATCCACAGATTCCCACGGTGCCGTAAGAAATAGGTATGGCGCTTCGCCATCGGTGACCCAAACATCGGTGGTGTACCTGTAAGGCTTTCCCTTGAGGAGATTGGGTTGGTGTTCCCTGATCCATTGAGCTTGTACTTGCTGGGTCTCTTTGAGGATGCTTCGCAGTTTATCCTCATCGTACCCTGGCTTTAGCTGGATGGTCGCTGTTTCAATGACGCCGGCCATTTTCGTGGCAAAGACTTGAATCGCTCAATTGATAGAGGCCTAGATGTCCTTTCCCATTCACGATGGAGCCCAATAAATAATGAGTTAATCAGGCATCTTTGACGACGTTGATGCGGGGTTCAGTCGATGATGCGCCATTGAGTTGCCTGGGAAGGATCACAGTCAGCAACGCAGTCGTCAGCCATAGGATTGATACTGGTCATAGTCCAAGGAGATTTCCGTTCATTTGATATAGCCATCATGCCGCATATTTATCCCAAATCCTTCAGAGAATCTCACAGTACTCTTACAGCATTTTCAAAATGTTAGCCTAGGGGAGGAAAGAAAACTCAGGACCTTGAACCTAAGTGACAAAAAGACTTAGGCAACGTAGTATAACTTTCGGATGCCTGATGCTGAGCTTATTCTGACACCTTATATTAATGTCTTGATGTTTTCTTGCTCCCCGATGATAGCCTCAATCTTGAGATTGTCTTCTCCAGTTTCGTTGAACCCTCAGCCAACCAGTCATGGTCGACAGCGGTATACATGTAGCCTTGATATATGGCCGCCTCGAATTATTCCGTGCCTGGATTGCCGCCCTCTAGAAACTTGAAGAATGTCAACTTATTCCCATCAGGGTCTTTGATAGCGAACTGCCGAAAACCCCACGGCTTATCTTCAATCGCTTCTTCAATCACCTCACTTCTCTGACCCTTGACAGTATCATGCAGCATGTCCAACTGCTCTGTACCCAATGCGATATATGCCGACCCTGGTTTGACATCGCCATCAGGTTTGAAGAAGTAGATATTGGCCGCTGCTTTGTCCCCTGCAAAGATCGAGCAGAAAGTATAATCTGAAGATGGCCCGTCCTCTGGCTTTACCCCGCCCAATTCGAATCCGAGAAGGTCGACATAAAAATCAAGAGTTCTCTGTATTGATTTTGATTCGAAGGTTGGAATGATTTTCCAAGCTGAAGCGATTGGCGCTGTCATGTTGTGTCTGTTTAATAGTATTCGTATAAAAGAGATGCGAATACGAAAGTGTTTCAATGCATTTTGCAGCAGCCAAGAGGAGCGTTATGTATGCGACAATTGATGCACTCTTTGCCGTCCAGTAACAGGCTGCAGCAGGCAACAGCTTCTCCAAGTACGGATACGGCCACACCAATAAGTTATAGCTGCAGGCACCAGCATGGATATTTTCCCGCCTGTCGTCATATTTTAGCTTCGCCTCGACGACGGACGTACCAGTAAATCCAAACTTGCAAGTTCCAACGACTCCAAATGTTCTGTTGCTTCGGCAGATATTCGAGGCTGGCTAAAAGTCTCATAACCTGATTTACAGAGAGCCGCCCGGCCAACCAGAGTGCTACATATCACAATCAAGCTCTCCTGGTGCATCGATCAGCAGCTGAACCAGACGGCTTATCCGGCACGCAGGGTCACACGGTTGGGTTGCTGTTGTATTGTTCGTTGCTATTGTCATCATCATCAATCACGCGGCTACAAATGCCGATGCTTGTCTCTGGTGCAGTTCTTCTGCATCTCTTCTTCAACTGATAGGCATTTCTGATTCTGAAACCTTGAAATACCCGGTCCTCGCCGGAAAAGTCGGTTCATATAGTTTTGCTTGTTCGATTTTCCACTCTCGGTTGCTGCATCGACAAATCGCGGGAAACGGGACGTCTAAGTCGTGGTGGTGGGCTCAGCTCAGTCTCCAGATAAACCCAAGCCCAGCTGGAGACTTGACTTTTAGCGCTAGACCGCTATTTTGAGTTCTTCCAATTGGAGGCCTATCATTACACATTCGGTTCAACAACAGAGGACAGATGTTGTGAGCTGTTGGCAACGTCTCGTAGGCATTTCATATCAACTCGTCTCGAATTTGAAGAGGAGATAATAACGATAGCACTTAGATTGTAACCCAAGTCTCTTAGCCTGTCTCGTTAAAGCAGTTAGTTCCACCTCATCTTGTTGATCGTTGGTAACCGTCATCTGCACCATCGAGGCACTCACATCCGGAACCTTTCCTATTTCGGTTGACGGGCGTTTCCCTACATCGTTCTGCTCCTTCTCTTTTCCATTGGAACAACTGTGAGGTGTGTCAAAAGGCAGGTACGTTGATCTAGGGACACAGGTGGAAAGTGCGGGGGACTCAATTACCCATTACGCCAACAATTCCCAGCGGTGCATCAATCTAAGTCACATACGTCTACCTTGGACTCTAGCTAACACTTCATCTGTGACGCTACTGTTTATTGCCTTTCATTATCGTCTCTGGCTTGCATTGCATTGCATTGTTGGGAGTCGAGGTCCGTCCGTTGCCCGCTTCCTTCCTAACTGTTTTAACTTATCACACCCCCGCTCTCGAATTTAAAGAAGTTACTTTCCACCCCCTGACGATGGTCAAGAAAGGCAACCACTAATTTACCGAATTAAGCAACTTTCCTCCTTCATCTTTCTTGCTTCTTATACTTTTCCTTCTACCGTTAAATTCAATTATCTTCATACAATCATTTACTGTTATTTCTCGCTCTACGACTCTTCTACTTTCTACGAAACATACTGCATACACTCATCACGACAGGGGTCAGACCACGTAATTGGAGATAAGATCAACACCAAACAACACGCGCGACACAATCACCCTCCATGCCATCTGTGACCCCAGTCATGGTAAACGGGCTCAATGGCAGCCATGCCAATGGCAACGGCAACGGTCATGGCCCTGCCTCCGATTCTGGCTCTGAAACATCTGGCGACTCTAGCAATGGCAGTGCCCTTCGTCGCATGAAGTTGAGCCGCAAAATGTCTAGCCCTATGGCACCTCCTTTCATGGTATCTGCACCAGGAAAGGTCATTGTGTTTGGAGAACACTCTGTTGTCCATGGAAAGGTAAGTCGGCTCCATCTTATCGCCAATTGCATGCTTACATGATTGGCGCATAGGCAGCCATTGCCGCAGCCATCTCACTGCGGTCATACCTTCACGTCACCACCCTCTCCAAGTCGAAACGTACCGTCTCGCTCCGATTCGCTGATATCGGCCTCGTTCATACCTGGAATATTGACGACCTGCCATGGGACGCATTCCAACAACCTTCCAAGAAGAAGTCATACTACTCTCTCGTAACAGAACTCGACCCTGATCTTGTTGCGGCCATCCAACCACACATCGAAGTTGTCTCACCCAACCACCCAGAGGAGATTCGAAGAGTTCATCATAGCTCTGTCTCAGCTTTCCTCTACCTCTTCCTATCGCTAGGATCGCCATCCTTCCCTCCATGTCTATACACTCTCCGATCCACAATACCGATTGGTGCTGGCTTGGGCAGCAGCGCGTCAGTTTCAGTATGCCTTTCAGCGGCTCTTCTTCTTCAACTACGGACACTATCCGGCCCCCATCCAGATCAACCTTCGGAAGAAGCACGACTTCAAGTCGAACGAATCAACAGATGGGCATTTGTGTCAGAAATGTGTATCCACGGGAACCCTTCTGGTGTGGATAATACGGTTGCGACACAAGGTAAGGCCGTGGTGTTTCAACGGACAGATTACTCCAAACCACCGACGGTTCGACCTCTGTGGGATTTCCCTGAACTGCCTCTGCTGTTGGTGGACACTCGACAATCCAAGTCTACCGCACACGAGGTTGCCAAGGTCGCAAAGCTCAAACAAACCCACCCCAAGCTTGTTGGCACGATCTTGGATGCGATGGACAAGGTCACGGATGCCGCTTCTGAGCTCATTCATGACACTTCTTTTGACAGCAAATCGGAGGCTGACCTCAGCAAGGTGGGCGAGCTGATGACTATCAATCATGGTCTATTAGTATCACTGGGTGTTTCCCATCCACGCTTGGAACGAGTGCGAGAACTTGTCGACCATGAGGGTATTGGATGGACAAAATTGACAGGCGCTGGCGGCGGTGGATGCTCAATCACTCTTTTACGACCTGGTGTACCCACAGATAAGCTACAAAAGCTTGAAGAACAACTAGAGTCCGAGAATTACGCCAAATTCGAGACGACTCTCGGTGGTGACGGTATTGGCGTCCTTTGGCCAGCTGTCTTGAAGAATGGTACAGAGGAAGATGACTCGGGCGGTATGGAGATTGATCTTGAGAAGTTCTTGGAAGCCGAGGGCACTGAGGGTGTCGAAAAGCTCGTCGGAGTACATGGCGATACTGGAGAAAGAGAAGGATGGAAGTTCTGGCGAGTTGAAAGCCAGTAAATCATCACTAATAAGACAGAACACGCTCAAGCTGTTGAGCATTTACTCCGATGTAAACCATCTGGTTAGCCACGCAGGGTCAAACACAACTAGGACTTGAAGAAGCGATGGGAAAGGCCTCTTTGGGAGTTTTTGGCATATATATGATTATAATCTAGTAATGCGACATGTTCTTTCTACTCACTTCATTTGGGCCCTCTTGGTCGTTGAGATTTCAATGCATAATGGGAATACAATTCTGGGCTCAAGGTATCAGATCACACCATATCAAAACATCCTCAACTATTCTTTTGCGCTCTGGCCGCTCTTCAGCAGAGTGACACGGTACTTCCAATACCCCTCTCGTACAGGATCCCATTTCTCTCCGAGACGTCGTAGACAAAGCTCAGCCTTTTCCTTGTCACCCTCTTCATCGTACAATTTGGCCAAGAAATCAAGCGCATGCGAACTGCGGACCTCTTCTGCTTCCTCTCCCAGTGCAGTGACAAACTTCTCGGCAAACTCTTTGAGGGAGGATAGGGGACGAGAGCCTTTGGTCAGAACAGCAGAGACATAGTTCCAAGGAGACTGGTTCTGCGGCGCTAGATCAATCTTCTCTTTGGAGTAGTTGATCTCTCGATCGATTGTCTCTGCTGGAATGCGAGGGTCTGGCTCTGTAGGTCCTGATCCAGGGGTGGAGGCTGTGGGGTCTGAGAAGACAAGATAGAAGCGGTGCGACCAAGCTGAGTTGTTTCGTACATCCTCCTCAATGTGGTTTTGGGTGGAAAGAAGCTCACTCATAGTCCACATGGACAGCTTGGAGACGAGGTACTGGCGATAGGACCATACATGGTAGTTCTTGGCATCTGATTCCAGCATCTTTGTGATGAACTGCGTCTCAGAACGAGCCAGTTGACGAACAGTCGCAGTATCATCCTCGATGAGAGGATAGTAGTAGTCCATCAGGAGCTGACGATGATTCCAAATCTGGTAGTTCTTGAGATTGCTGAGAGCAACCTCGTTCAACCATTCAATCTCATCGGGAACACTAAGCTTCCATTCCGAGATAATCTTGTAGCGGTACAACCAAACAGTGTAGTGTGCTGGGTTCATGGAAATGACGTGCTCTGTCAAACGCAGACTTCGGGGGGAGAATTCGTCCGCCGCCATGACGGCGCGAAGGTAGGACACGGCTATGATGCGGTTCAGTCAGCCACTCCTTTAGACCTGGGCATCAAACGGACGTACCCTCGGCATAGTCGTCCGGATAGGCAATCTGCGCGAGGGCGCCTTCGGGCTCGTTCTGCGGGATGGGGATGACATCGTCCCATTCAGGATCCTGGGCCAGACTTCCCGTGATCTCCCCGTACAAGTCCCTCTTGAGTGCAGCCATGGCTTTTCTTCTCGTCTTTTCAGCGGCGATATCCTCGGTGGTTACTTCGAGTTGCTTCTCTCGCTTCTTGAGAAACTGACGATGCTGTATTTGCAGCGATGTGAGCTTTGCGTGCTTTAGCGTGCGCTGCTCAAGCTCGTCGGGCGAATATGTCCCAATATCTCGTCCGGAACGGTCTTTTCCCCAGGCGTAGTCGCGAAGTCTGCGAATAGGTAGACCCTCTTTTGAAACAAACTTCCAGAACTCGCGCTCTGCCTTGTGGTTAATGAATTTATCGCTATCTATAACAGTATTGATGAGGTTGACGTGTGCGTAGATCTTCTTCTCAGCGGGAGTGAGAGCTGATAACCCGACTTGCTGACGACGGTTCTCGATAGGATTCGTCTGGAAGAAGCGCTGCTGCGAACGCTGGGCGATGGTGTCTGGGGGGGAATCTGGAGCAGCTGGGAAACGTTAGACAGATATATAGAGAACGAGTGAAGAGGGAATATACCTCTGGGCTCGGGGTTCGGGGCCTTGGAGCCGGCTTTTGTTTTGGGTGGCATTGTTGGAGTTGGAGAGCTACGTTGGTGATGGATGGTGGGGTTTTGTCACTGGGTTCTACTGTTTTTTTGCTGTATGGGGATTGATGCAGGTGCAGGGGAGGATACCCCGCCAAAATGAAGCTATTGTTCTTGAAGCCTCGTTGAAGAACAATATGAGCACGTGCAAGTGGTGGTTAAGCTCGGATATTTGTTATGTAGTGTTGGCAAACAGTTGTTGGTGGTGTAAAATGAATTGCTTGTTGGTTTGCTGTCTAGTTTGACCGGTGCTAGATGAAAGCCTAAATCTGCGCCATCTGAATGCCCTATTGTTCTATGCGCCATGATACCGGCTCGTCTTTCATGCCTCGTTCAAGTCGAGTTCTCTCCCATTTGATCTGGCTCTCGTTCATGATCGTCTATCCCGAGTTGCACGACCTGCCCCCTACGGCTTCTGGCCACTGGGCTTCTTGGCCGAGTTCGCGCGACTCTTATCCTCTTTCAATAAACGGTTCGCACGCTGGTTTCTCCAATAAGTTCTCTCGAACTCTGTCTCCTCTCTAATCGGTATCTCTTCATCCTCCGCCCAGCCCTACAAGGCACGAAAGTTCTGAGACATGACGAGCCACTTCTTGACACCCTTGGGAGGGTTCTTGACCATAGATTCCCAGTTCGGCACGAGAACAAACGTCTCGTTGAACATCTTTTGAGGTGCTTCTCTACCCTTTCCGAATTGTACCCTGCCCATAACAGTGACGAGGATGGACATCTTGTCGCCGCTCTTCTCCTTCTTCGCGCTGTCGAAGATGTTTTCGGGTGCGCCCATTGTGAAATTTGGGTTGAGGACGTGTGCGTCGAAGGACTCGATTTCGTAGTGCGCGTCTTTGCCTTGAGCTTCGAGAAGTTTGGCGTAGTCGTCTGGTGTCGGGAGGACGGCGCCGTTGATAGAGATGTCTGCGGCGATGGGGTATCTTTGGGAGGAGTTTATGTAGAATGGGAGGATGTCTTTTTGTCGGTTTATCGCTTGGTAGTAGTTACTGGTGAAGATTTCAGCAGCTGAGTTTGTTAGCTATTACTTTCGCGGTTGAAGTTGAAGATACCTACCATCGCTCGAGGTTTGCACCTCTGTTGCTAGTGTTGGGGCTGACATAGTTGTGTTTGTGTGTGTATTGATGTTCAAAGGAAAGAATTGAATGGGAGGAAGAAGAAGGGAATGTATAGGTCCAGGGTTTTTAAGGTTGGCGCAAAAGTAAACAGTTCCAGGCAGAGTTTCAAAAAAGATGCCTGCGATGATGCAGATGAACAGTTATCACAGAATTTACTCGCACGGTACATTTTGTAGCTTATCGTATGAAGCTTTGCAGCTTCACCTCTAGATCCCCACATTCCGCTCAGAATTACAGCAAGAAAAGTAGCTCTGAGAGCTCTCAAGTGCCATGAGGGCCTTCAGGTTTCAGTCTTTACAAGGCGCTCGTCTAATACAGTCTCGATTGGCCTGTCAATCCAATTTGAGTCGCCTAGGATGTCGAGCCTATGCGCCAACCTCACAATGGCGCCGTTCGAATAGCACTGAGTCGACAGGCAAAGAGAAGCCATTTTATGTAACAACGCCAATCTTTTATGTCAATGCTGGTCAGTTTGATGCCTCGTAGCTCTGGCGTGTCTAATTGCCGTGCAGCTCCTCATATTGGTCACCTGTACACCATGGTTCTGGTCGATGTCATAAAACGATGGAAGCAAATCAGTGGCCATGAGGCCTACCTCGCTACAGGCACAGACGAACATGGCATGAAGATTCAACAGGCAGCTCTGGGGGCAGAAATACCACCGCAGGAATTCTGTGACAACAACGCCAATAAGTTCAAAGACCTCGCCGAACATGCCAACATCTCGCACGATTTCTTCATCCGAACCACCGATCAAGCACATAAAGACGTTGTACAGCAGTTCTGGCTTCTTCTCAAGGCTCGCGCACCTGAAGGCTTGGGCCTATACCAGGGGAAGCATGAGGGATGGTACTGCGTCAGTGATGAGTGCTTCTATCCTGAAGATCTTGTCCAGTCAAGCATTTCTCCTCAGACAGGGCGCAAGGTGACGGTCAGCAAAGAGTCAGGCAATAAGGTCGAGTGGGTTGAGGAAAAGACGTGGTTCTTCCCGCTGTCTAAGTATAAGGAGAAGTTGCTTCAGTTCTATGACGAGAACCCGGATTGGATTCAACCAGCTGATCGTATGAATGAAGTGCGCAACTGGGTACGAGATCATCTTGAGGATCTCTCCGTCACTCGCCCTGCGAAAAGACTGAACTGGGGAGTCAAGGATCCCGAAGATCCCAACACTACTATCTACGTTTGGGTGGATGCTCTTGTTAACTATCTGACCACGTCTGGATTCGGCACAAAGTGGCATGTTGGTGATAAAGATACGGGAATATGGCCAGCAGACATGCACGTCGTCGGCAAAGACATCATTCGCTTCCACGCAATCTACTGGCCTGCTCTTCTCATGGCCGCAGGCCTTCCCCTACCCAAGAAGATCCTCTGCCACAACCACTGGACCATGTCGAACCGCAAAATGTCAAAATCCGTCGGCAACGTCGTCAACCCTTTCTTCGCTGTTCAGCGCTGGGGTCTCGACGCTCTGCGATACTTCCTTATGCGTAATGGTAATTACAAAAGCGACTCGGATTATGCGAACGAATCTATCGCTGCTATTTACGAGAAGGATCTTCAGGCCAATATTGGCAACTTATTCAACCGAATTGCTCGAGTCAGGAAGCTTGCTTGGAGTACAACTGAGGCAGTTGAATTTGCAAAGTCTGGAAGGTTTGAGAACCGTGGGAGTTTCTTACCTACAGAAAGTCCTCATATCTTTCTAAGTCTCGAGAAGAGTCTGCAAAGCCTACCGGAGGAAATTCGAACTCACATGGATCAAAATCAAGTGAACCATGCCCTGCAACATATCTTTTGGCTTCTTCAGGACGTGAGTATTACTTGTTCATCTGAATTCGAGTGACTGACCCGTCTCTAGACAAACCGCTTTGTTTCAGAAACTGCGCCGTGGAAGATTGTGAAAGAGCAGGACGCGAATGCGCGAACCCGCCTCAACTGGGTCATCTACCGATCCGCCGAAGCTCTGCGCATCGCAGGCATCCTTCTACAACCCGTCATGCCTGAAAAGGCTACGCAGCTACTCGACGGTCTAGGTGTCAAGCCAGAGCGACGTACTGTCGCGTATGCTCGCGCTGACGCTGATCTCGATTATGGCACAGAAGCTGCTATTGTGAGCCAAAAGCCTGATGCCTTTGGTTCCATGTTCCCTCCTGTCGCGGGCATCGAGCTGACTGATGTTGAAGTTGTGGCTGGGATGGAAGGGCCAAACAATCGATTGGGTCGTGTGGTGGTAGCATTGGCGCAGGAGGCTCAGAAGGCTCGAGAGGCTGAAGAGTCTGGAGAGAGGTGGAGAATTGAACAGCTGAGACTAAAGAAGCTGAGAGAAAAGAAAGAGGCTGAGACGAAAGAATAATGGATGAATCATTGTAACGAAATATGTAAAATATGTACAATATAAAGAAAGCGTTGGCATGTTGTCCTGCATTTACCTCTGGCTGTGGTTGTAAGAAGCTTTCTGGTGCCCCATTTTGACTCAACTTTTTTCACCAATGGTGTTGAACTGTGAATATTCACCTCACAACTTACACCTCACAAATCACAATGAAGATCAACCAAAATACAGGTAATGCTACACTCTCCGTAATGCATATGTACTGATGAGTAGTAGCTATTTCAACGAGCAAAGCCTTGCTCGTACCATACGAGGCGCATCATGTGAAGCAATACCACGCATGGATGCAAGATCCTGTAAGCTCTCACCATCACCAGAATCTCAGACGCTAATATGACCCAGGATATTCAAGAAGCTACAGCTTCAGAACCCATGACTTTGGATGAGGAATATGAGAACCAACAGTCGTGGCGCACATCGTCTGATAAACTCACCTTTATCGTCTGTGCACCGCTCACCGAGAATGTATCACTTGTGAAAGCCGGCGCAGCGGATGCAGATCCTCTCATGCGAGGGGACATCAACTTCTTTTTGTACCCCTTTGAATCCGACGATGAAGACACAGAGACAAGCACAGAGGGATGGGTCACAGGTGAAGTGGACGTCATGATCGCATCGCCTTCACATCGTGGCCAAGGTTTCGGACAAGCAGCTGTCTGTGCATTGCTCGTATATATCCAAAAGCACCTAGACGAGATACTAGCAGAGTATGAAGCAAAGGAGCTGAAGGGTTTGATGGTCAAGATCAAGGAGGGGAATAAGGGAAGCAGAGCTTTGTTTGAGAAGTTGGGATTCGTGCAGAAGGGAGAGGTGAATTACTTTGGAGAGATTCTTATGACTATTGAGTGGGATGAGATTCTGAGAAGAGATTGGTGGAGTAGAGCAGAGGGGGAGTTCAGAGAAGTGAAGTATGAGATGTGAGAGTGAGGGTATCGATGTGACAACTCTAGTAACAAGCAGTTGTTCAAGGCCCATTTCTGTCACGCCAAGTTGTTGCAACGGAGAGCTTTCCCCACTATCGGATTCCCAATCTTCATTTCTATTGAGCTGTTAATCACTTCGAAACGTTTAAGCCATGCACCCTCCTCCATATATGTTGCTGGGGTCCTCCGTCTTATGCATGTTACCAAAGAGACTGCCACCACTCACATACCATCTTTGTTATTGGAACCATAGTAAAACTAAACTACAAATTTACAACATATCTGCCATCAAACCTCTTTCTTAATCATGAGCAGGCCATTCCTTTCCTGACACTAGTTGATAACGTTCAACTACTCCCAGCTCAACAAGCCCTCTTCTTACTACATCTCATGTGAACTTACAAATCATCACATCGCAGCTTACCCATCCCCACACAATCCAAACCATTGGCCTCTACATTCACATATCTTCAAGCCATTGACTCTTTTCCCCTCAACCTTGCTTCACACCACAATCATCAACCTTCCTTATCAGACCACGAGCGGGGTTCCCAAGGTGCATCCACTCACTTGTCTTGCTTGTGCATAGAGGATCTCCTCGGTGTTGCACAAACGAACTTGACCGGTCTTGCCCTCCGCGGACAAAGTTCCGCTGATCGAGCGATTTATCTGATCAACCCATTTATTGGGCGAATCTTATCAAATGCCAAGACCAAAGGTGGGATTTAGAGTTAGCGTTTGCTTAAGCATAAATACAAGCATCGAGCCCGACTTCCGACGGGACATCGCTCTTCTTCAATTCTAACTAATCCATAAGTTTAACATGTATTCCAAGACTCTTTTGCTGAGTTTCCTTTTTGGCAGTGCTGCCAGTGAAGTCATTCATGGCGCTGTAGTCTTTAGCCGTCATGGAGATCGTATGTCCAACAAGCTCAATTGATGATTCCCACTTACATAAATAGGCACTACAAAGTGGTACGGCGCTCAATCCCTCACTAGTCTCGGCGCAGAGCAGAACTTCCAAGTTGGAAGAGACTACCGTGATCGATATCTCGCTTCGGACTCTCAGTATCGCATCTTGGGTATTTCTGAAGATGAATACAAGCCCTCTCAGATCTTTGCTAGTGCTCCTGATCAGGGCATCCTCATGAACACGGCTACAGCTTTCCTTCAAGGATTCTACCCTCCTCTCGCTGATCTAGACCCTGAGATTGCTTCTCAGACTCTTAACAATGGCTCTGAGAGTCAGGCTCCTCTTGATGGTTACCAATATGTTCGTCTCCATACCATCAATGATAATTCACCAGACACCATCTGGATCAAGGGCGATGATGCTTGTCCCAAATATGTCACTGCCTCAAAGTCTTTCATGAAGAGCGATGTCTTTGCTCAACGTGAAGAAGACACGAAGGAATTTTACGAGCAATTCTACGATGTTCTCTCCGACGGCGTCTACAACCTTCGTCCCGAGAACATGACCTACAAGAACGCCTACAACATCTTCGACCTCGTCAATGTCGCTCGCATTCACAACAGCACCTCTCCAGCCCGCAACCTCTCAAACGCAGACCTTCTTCAGCTCCGCACCCTCGCTGACTCTGCGGAACTCGGCCAGAACTGGAACGAGTCTGATCCTGCTCGAGCCATTGGCGCTGAGACTCTTTCTGGTGCTATCCTCAACCAGTTGAATGAGACTGTGACTTCTGAAGGAAAGCTCAAGTTTTCTCTCTTCGCTGGAAGTTACGACACTTTCCTTGCCTTCTTCGGTCTTGCAGATCTTCTTGATGTCTCTCCCAACTTCTACGGTCTGCCAGATTACGCATCTACCATGGCTTTCGAGCTCTTCACCGATGATGACAGAGACAGTTTCCCTTCAAACCCAGAGGCTGACCTCCGTGTTCGCTGGCTCTTCCGCAACAGCACAGCCGGCGACCTTGAGACTTATCCACTCTTTGGGACTGGCGAGGACTCTCTTTCTTGGTCAAAGTTTGTGACTGAGATTGAGAAGCGTTCTATTACTGATGTTGGAGATTGGTGCACCAAGTGTGGCGCCGAAGAAGATTTCTGTGCTGCGTACAAGGATGACGACGAGAGTGCTGAGGGTGAGAGTGAGAACAAGACTTCCAAGAAGGGTGGCATGTCCAACGCCGTTGCTGGTGTCATTGGTGCCATGGTTACTCTTGGTGTTGTCGCTATTGTTGGAGCTGCTGCCTTCGTTATCATGAGACGCAAGCGAACTACCCCTGCTGGCAAGAAGAGCAGCATTCGAAGTGGCAGCACTGATGGAAATGCGGCCAAGGTTTAAGGTGCATACCGCATGGAATGACTATATAAAAGATTGTGTAACTTGTAGCCTAATGAATGACGGTTGATACTCCCCATCACTGATATCCACTTCAATTTCTCTCCAAGGCAGATGTCTGTCGAGTCGCCCTATCGACGATAGTAAGGGCACCTTGAAGCTTCTCAATATCATGCTCCAGCTCTTTACGTCTCCTGGCAGTGTTCTCATTCTCCCCACCAACAATCTCCATCTCATCTTCCGAGAGACTAAGAATGCGGTTGGTGTTAAGACCCAGAACAGGCCCGTCTTGACCAGAGATGAACGATTCAATAACAGTGTTGTTGATGGTACGAATGAAAGCGTCCAGGGAGAGCTAAAAAGGTTAGCAATTGTTGACACGGAAGATGTAGTTTACGGCACATACCTTGTAATAAACCTTGAGAACATCGTGGACATCAACAGCCATGTTCATGCCCAGACTTGGATGGATGGATTCAAAGCACTTGGCAAGATCAAGTTGCCCCGGTTCGCAATCCTGCGAAACACTGGCGAATCCCTCATAGAATCGCAAGATTCTCCAACCATGGATCTCATCCCCAAAGCGAGGACCAGTGGACTGCAGTCGCACACACTTTGTCTCCATCTCGCACTGAGACTTGCACAAGTCTTCAGTTCTTTGCATGGATTCTTTCCACGAAGCTTCCAAGAGCGTGGTCAACTCCCTCGACAGAGTTGACGTGTCACTTTCCTGAGGGCAGACGTCGTTGAGAATGGAGGCTGTGCATCGACTGACTGCTTGTGCGACTCGCGCAAGGTGGATGTTCGCGATGTGTCCCCATTTCTTCACTTGCTCTCGGTACATGTCTGGGTAGATATCTGGGTTGATGATTCCATCCAGAAGAGATCCCTGATAGAGCGCCAGCTTGTCTTGAATGGCACCCATAAGATTTCTTGTGTCTTGAGTGTGTGACAATCCCGGGAATGCCTTGTCAAGTGAAGCATCGATCTTCGGTTTATTGACATTACGAACACGCGGGGGTAATCGCTTTCCCTCGGCCCTCGCCTGTGTCTCAAGATTCATATGTTCATCTAGCAGCACGCGAGGATCAACGTCAATATCCTCAAACTCCCAGGTACCGCCTCGCGCTCGCATGAACTTGTCAAATTCAGCATTCAAGCGACTGACTTCTCTGCGAAGCTCCATGCTGTGGTCGAGAAATCCTGGACGGTCCAGAGCCGTTTGCGCCATCTCTTCATATTTTCGGACAGTAGCGACAACAAATTGCTGTCTTGCGGCATGGCTAGTGCGAGGCTCTCCAAGCATAGTCTTCTCGTGTAGTCTCTCTTCGAGGTTATGCTGAATTGTACTGCGGAGTGTTGGGAAGCAATCGCGTATCTTGGAGCTCAAAAGGGTACCAAGATATGACTTGGCTGCAGTTGAGCCCAAGCGGCTTTGAGAAACAGAGTTCCAGGGGCTCTTGCTGAATAGCTTCTTCTCTGCGGCGCTGAGATCGAAAGAATCAGGATCTTTGTCTGCTCGGTTGCGAACCAGGAACCAGCCACCAGTTAGGCGTCCGAGTCTATGAGTAGAGTTACCAGTTGCGATTGATACGATCTGACTCAATGTTAGCGTGGTCAAAAAGAGTCCATATGGTTAACTTGCCCTCTTGGTCGCCTCTGGCTCATGCTGCACCATATCGCATTTTGTGAAAACGCCGACGAAGCGGTTTTGCTTGATGGGCTTCTTGGCTAACCTCAAAATCTCCTGTCTATCAAAGTCCGTAGGTGCATCGATAACGCAGCTTCAACTGTTAGTATGATCGATCACTGATGTCATGCCAAGCTAACTCACATAACGATATTATCTTCGTTGTTCATGTACTCCTTGACCATAGCCTCGACCTTGGCTTGATCTGTCTCGTTAACGGCAGAAGCATTCTGAAATGTGCCAGGAAGGTCGAGAATACTGAAATAGGAGCGGTGGGGCCCTGACAGCTCGATCTTGAGCACCTCTGCTACGAAGTTCTTTCTGTCTTCTCCTAGACCAGTTCGAAGGCCCATGAACTCAGAGGATATCTGTGATTGTCAGTTCGTTCCTCTCAAAGATGGCAGGAAGGTGACTTACCTCGTCGATGACCTTGGCAAATCTTTCCTTGGTGAGGATCTTGCCGCTGCACTCATAGTTCTTGATGTTGTCAGATGCAGGATCCAAACCAGGAACATCAACTTCAGCAGGATCAATAGTAATGCGGAATGAGTCGTCACTGTCTGGTTCTGTGCGACGAGAGACAATGCGGGTGGGAAACCGGGTGCAGCAGCCACTGTCGACTGGGAAAGGGATTCCTGTCAAGCTTTGGAGCAGAGACGACTTTCCAGAGGATTGTCCTCCCACAATAATGAGCTACCACTAGTAAGTACTGCGAGAGCCCAAAAGTCCTAAGATTACATACCTGAGGGATGCTCAAGTCACCGGCCCCAAAGGACTGCAGGGCATCAATTGCATCAAACAGAATGCGATTGTGCTGACTATCAAAGGGGTCTTCAGGCATGACCTCTTGATTGGAATCATCACGAGGTCGGGGTGAAGAAAGTGAACTTGGAGAAGGATCGTAGAGCACGTCTCCAAGACTGGAATCCGTTGGGAATTTTCCAATCAATTTTCTAGGGCTCTCCTTGCCAGAATTGAGGCTATCAAAGCCTTTGTAAGGCGTTCGGGGAGGAGTGTCAAGGGCGTGTGGGTGCATAGAGAGAACTTCAACAGGACCAGCCATGATGAATTGATAAGAGTAATAGATGAAAAATGAAAAAACAAAGGAAAGATTTAGACAAGGGTATCTTGATATGAAATTGGAGCTGAGAAATGGATTGTCCTTCTATGACTGTTGGCGGGACTTGAGCAGATTTATATCTTCCAGTACGACTTGACCATCCCATCCTCCACAGCCAAAGCAGCTTTCTGTAGATTGGAACAAGCCCGCAGACTTTACTGCCATCTCACCAGCTTCTCATGCAACTACGCGCCGACCATCGGCTCACCTCACTTGGAGTCAAGGGTTTATTCAGCTCGAGTATATCTTTTTCCATATCAAGACATCTCGGGAAGCAGTTTTGGGTGAGGAACTTTCTTGGCATATTAGAGATGACTTCTCAGCCAATAATTGCAGAATATCGGTCGCACGATGCAGGTGGTTGAGACCATTGTCGACCAGCATAAGAGCAAAGATAGGAACCAAAATAGTTTCATAGTCAACATAGAGTTCAGGTGAAGGTCAAGAAGGAATCAACCGGCAGGTTTCGAAACATCGAAACCTGATCTCATTGGCCGCTTTGGCATATGCTGTTGGTTGCTGCAAGCACTCACTCAGCTATCTGCAGGGGTTGAGCGCATAGCTGAGAGAGGCAAGAGATAACTCAAAAAGGCAGCTCGCAAGATGAAATGCTTTATCTTATCGATCAATTTCCCTGCGGTTTTTTAAACGACAAGGCAATTGTTTTGAGATGCATTTCTGACAGGCAGGGGTAGGACGGGTAGCAGGGCTGCTCTCAGCTGTGCGACAACTTCACTGTTGAGGGAAACCTTGGTACCGGGACAAAACTCGCAATCAAGACCGAGATTGACGACACTGCAACTTGCAAGCGCCGTCGATAAACAAAGGTGACAACGACCCAAGAAAACGCATCCTAGGGGTCATTATACTGGCCGGAGGAGAAACACCTCAACCAACAACCAACATCGGCGGTTGTTCAGCTCCAACAGCCAATCATAATTGACCATGCCGTCTTCAACTTGAATCCAGCGAGATGTCTCCAAGTCTAGCGTTGTTGTCGCTGCCATTTGACCTTCCAGATGAATATTGGCCTCATCTTCCATTGACCATTGTGATTTATCAAGAATCATGGGATGAATCAAAACTTGGGGTAGCTTTGAGATGATTGGGGCAGACTTAGCCGGCTTTACGATGGTGAGTTTTATCTTGCATGATTGTATTGTAGCACAGGATTGTGATGGGCGCAGAGATTATCCGCGAGATTGAGCTGAGGTTGGCGAGAGTTGTTGGCTAGCACAATAATTTGATCAATGTGATACGGGGAATGGCTTATTATTCGTACTTGATAATGAATGAAGAAAGTCGATTTCATCTTTGAGAAACTTGTTGATAAATTAGGATGAACGGAAGGATCAAGTGAAGCCATTGAGGAGAAAAGGGAGGTACAGGGTAATCAGCCCCACCTCGAAACAGCGGCGTCACTTTCGACTGAAGCTCAAAATTTCAACATTTACATCACCAACGACTTGACGGCCGTTGCATCACCACATCACAAGCCGCAGTCTCATTTCTGCGCGCTCTACCGAAATGAACACGATGTTCTCTTCTATCACGCGCCTCGCGCGCCCAGTCCTGGCCAAGCCCCTCGCTCAATCGCCTAGGTAAGCTCATCCACATGCCTCTATCAAACCATCACTAATTCCATCAGGACATTCACAACTCTCGTCCCTCTCCGACCCTCGCTCACTCCCATGACCGGCGCTATCCGAAGAACAGCTCTTCCTTCAAGCTTCACCCCCTCGACAGCCGCATCAGCCGATATCGTTCCTTCGAGCGCCATCTCAGCACACCCTGCCCTCGGCGATATGCAGATTCGTTGCGGACCCCGAAATACCATGAACGGACATACGAGGCTTGTCCAGAAGCGCAGACATGGATTTCTATGTCGTAAGCGCAGTAAGACGGGGAGGAAGATTCTCCTCAGGAGGAAGATCAAGGGCCGAAGGCATATCGCCCAGTAAGCCCAGCCTGTGAATGTGGCCTGAGGAGGTTGGAGGGCATGTGTCAATGAAGCATGAGCGAATTGTGTACGATACCAGAGAAGAGAGCGGAGACTTGGGTGCAGATACCTTAGTCTCTCTCGTGATACAATCTGTACAAAGACTCACCAAAAGAAACAAATGATCTTGCATTCTCACATCTCGGCGGAGTACCGAACTTGCATATTGCAGCTGAAGTCTAAACCAGGGGGAACAATATCACGCACTTTTACGAAGGACCAGTTCCAGAACATTTTCGGAATTTGACAAAGGCTCACAGCCTGATGATGACGCTGGTCGACGTCGGTGTTGCAGCAAGGCCAGCAATGCAGAAAGCTCCGAACTATCGCACCTGACTTCGGAGAAAGGCTCGAATTAGAAAGATGAGGTTCAGTTCCGATAGACAGATGCAGTTCCTAATTCGGATTCACCGGAGCTACCGTTAGTCAACACCATCACGATGTGCGGATAGTTCGAAACCCCGCATTCTCAACTGAGAATCACAGGCCTCGTTTCAGGCACAAAGCGCTCTGACTTTGGACTTATTCCTCGGCTTGGATTTTCTAGTGTGGTGGCCTGCATGTTCTTGGGTGCGCCGATCATCAGGTACGCAGTAAGCGGAGAAGCAGGCTGTGAATTGGAGATGTCTATCACTGAGATTTGTGAGGTACCGCGTTGAATGAATTGATAAGAGACAGTCTCATACGGCAAGCCAATTGATAATGCTGATAAAGAAACACAGAGATATGAAGATCTGATCACAAGTCTATAGATGCAATTGCTATTATCATGGATAGCTATCATCTGGCCTCAGCTATCGAAAGTGATGATGATGACACTAGCGTCCAAGAGATGCAGCTTATGCCGGCCCGCCTTGCATTAAGAGGATTGAGATGGTGTGAAAGGTGATGAAAGAGGTAGGTGTCAAGACTTGATAATGCAGCTGAAATGTAAGATGTGAAATAATTCAAGTAATCAGAGACATTTCATGTGATGGTGCTACTGCATAATCTCATGTTCAATCAACACCATATTTGAACAACAAAAGAAATACGAATATGTTCGGATATCTTTTCGTCTGATGAAACTGCCAGATTGACATCTAATTAATCGAGTAAATAACCTCAATGCAATATTACCGCAATTACTGCACTTCCTGGGTTAGGTATCGTGTTCCCCAGATATCGGCACTTGACTACTACTGCACTCCAGATCAGTTAAACCTGTTTTTCCCACACATAATTAAACCCCACCTGACAAAAGGTCCCTTGTCAACGAAAAAAGTAAACCTTGTCAACTCGTAGAGTCAAACGCTGCACGCAATGGAAAACTTGATAGCGGTCAAGGCTGAACTGAATTGAGCCGAGAAGGTTGCAACATGTTTCGGGGTATACTTCCGTTGATCGGCTCTGCAAGTGATGGAGGTGAATGTTTCTGTGAAAGATGGTTGGTCAGTCGACTCGATATAGCTCGGGCGGTAAATCGTAACGTTTTATCTGGTAGTTTGTACTATAATTGGTTTGCTCATCACTGTGACACCAGAACTGTCACTTAATTATTGGATATCGACCAACCACTCTTACGATCTCAAACAAATCACCAGACTATTCTTTTTTGTCTCTCTCTCCTATTTTTTCTTCTTCTCAAAGCCTAGAGCCCTACAAGTCCCAACATTTTGACAGTCCCCATCGCAATGTAACAGAGACTAAACAAAACCCCTGTAGCCCACCATCTTGATCACGACCCTCACGTGGTCCGAGATCGTCGTTACCTGTAAGGGAAGCTCATCCGGGCCCAACGACAAACGGACCAAGGAAAAATGCTGTCAGAGCCCGATGAAGGGGACCTTGTCTGCTGGGATCATGGAGCCAAGAATGCGGGGTGGGCAGTGTAGAACACACCATGAAGGTTTAGACTGCCGCGAATGCTTCATTTCCGCTGTTCGGCCCTCATTCTGGCTGGGGCGGCGGTTATTACACCGACGACCAGAGGAGTTTGCCAAGATGGATGGGGTGGGAGCTATGACTATGGGTGGATGTGTGTGAATGTGAATGTGATGGGAACGGGAG